TCCGTTAGCGTTCCTGAGTGTCTTTACTCGTCACGGCGTTCGCCAGTTCTACTTCATGTGGTTTGCAGAATGTGTCCTATCAGCCCGTCAGGGATGAAGGTTGTGATGAGTCACACTTAGCGCTCGAGAGGTCCTTTTCGATGGGAGTTAAAACATATTTCATCTGTTTCTTCCCAGGGAAATTCCTTCCTGTTCTTTTTGTTGTTGTTGTATTTTGCTTTTGTTTTTTTAGACAGGGTTTCACTATGTAGTTGAGACTGATCTCGAACTCACTATGTAGCCCAGGCTGGTCTGAAACTCACAGCGATCCTCCTGCCTCAGCCTCCTGAGTGCTGGGATTACAGGCGTGCAATAGGTTCTTGCCAAGTTGGACAGGCTGGGCTTAAACTTGGGGTCCTCCTGCCTCAGTCTCCAAGCCCCTTTGATTTCAAGTGTACACTATCATCACACTTAGTTCAGACAGTGAGGTTTTTCAGACAGACTTACTGCTGTCCTTGATGAAATTCTGGAGAAATGATTATTGCATTTCCAGTTGTAGACAGGGTGGCTGTTTTGGGAAGGTAGAATTAGCACCTTGCTATTGTCTTTATCTGGAGATTGAGTACGGTTTAAGGAGATGAGTTTGGGAGTGAAGTTGGCAGGAAGTGGATTGTGACAGTTAATCCTGAAATCCTCATAGGTCAATTTCATTGCGTTAAGAAATACCAATTAGGGCAGGGGATTTAGCTCAGTGGTTCCACTGCCTGCTTTGCAAGATCCCCGTACCAAAAAGAGAAAGAAAAAAGAAAGACCAATTAGCTGGTTGGTAAAGCGTGCTCCTGGCTATGTCTGGTTGTCTGACTGGGTTACGGGAGTGTGACCCTGAGTCCATACCTGGTTCCTCCCGTCTTCCTCTCGGGCACTGTTCCCTGCTTCACTTCCCAGTTCCCATCAACTAAGCAGTGTCGCTTCCTCTCTGTTGTGCCTGCCTCGGAGCCTGCCAACCTTGTACTGAATCTCTTGCACCCACGAGCTACATCAAACCTTCCTTCTTTAATTTGTGTCCAGCAATGGGAAAGCTGACAAGTACACCTGTATGTGTTCTAAGATAGCTACATAAACTGATGCTGCTTTACAAGCTGCCATCTATGACCTCAGAGATCTTCTTAGAGCTGAGGCTCTTCCTGTTTAGGAAGCAGTTTACTACTCTTTATACCACTGAAAACAGGTATCACTCAATCCCCTCATCTGCGGCCTACATTCAGATCACTTCCACCTCCTCTCTCATCCTCTGTGCTCTCACTGCTAGAGTTTTAGTTTCTCTGAAAAATGTCTTCATTTGAGGGGAGGTGGACAGAAATATTTTCATCATGTGCAAGATTTTGGACTGAAATATATTCATGTTTTTAAATAATATATTAATACAATATTTTTAAATATTGTAATTCCTTGACTTCTTAGCTTTCCTTTACTATAACAAAATGCCTGAAATAATTTATGAAAAGAAGAGGTTTATTTTGGCTCCTAATTTGAGTTTTCAGCCTGTGGACCCTTTGCTTTTAGGCTACAAAAAATGGTACAAAACTGGGCACCCCTCCAGTGACATAAGGACCTCCGATTAGGCCCCACCTTCTGGAGTTTAAACCCCTTCCCAGTATGATCACTTGAAGATCAATCCTCTAGCATTGCCCATGTTCAAGAGAAAAGGCAAGAGACTGGCTTGAAGATGAGTGAGCAGTAAAACGGTAATAATAAAATAACGAGAAGTTATCTTTTCTGAGCACTTTGTATGGATTAACTCATTTAATCCTCACAATCACCTCATAAATTTACTATCCACAAATTATTACAAATGAAAACAGAGTGGGCGAGGGATTTAGCTCAGTGGTTGTGTTTCCTGCCTCGCAAGTGCAAGGTCCCAAGTTCGACTCCTGGTACCAAAAAATAAAACACAGAGGCATACAGATGTAGTGAACAACCCGAGCTCATTCAGCTAGTCAGGATGAATTGGGAAATGAGCTCAGGAAGTGCAGCTCCACAACTTCCTGTTCCCACCTCCTGCTCTGTGTTCTCTCCCATTCACGGTGGCTGCAGGCCCTTTTCTCCACAGTGCTGGTTTTCCTCCCTATCACCCTGACACACATTCTCTTAAAGCCCTGGAAGGCACTTTCTGTGAGACTTTGCCTCTTTGTGCCTGTGGTTTCCTTTCTTCTCACCCCTGACTTCTTCCTGCGTGAGCCTAGAACCCTCCAAAGGGGTCCGGCAGAGAAGCGGCAAGGCTGAGATAGGGCCCTCGGTGTGACTGAGTGGAGTGAAGTGAAGGAAACTGAATGCAAGTCCTTTCCTGAACTGCATTTACAGCTACACCGTCCTCACTGCCCCACTCCCCGCCCTGCCTTGGTGCCTTGCTGTGGGGTGATCCAACATCATCAAAGTCGTAAGAAGACAGCAGGAATTGTTTTCATGAGGACGCCTATTGGGTTTCTTACTGTTATATTGAGAAGGGATATGTTAATAACTAGTGGGTTTGGGAGTTGCAGTGAGAAAATAAATGTCCAGGGCCAGGGATTTAGCTCAGTGGTTCCACCACCTGCCTCGCAAGTGCAAGGACCTGAGTTCGATCCCTGCTACCCGCCCCCAAAAGAAAATAAATGTCCATTAAATTTCCTTCAAAGAAAAATTATTTTGTTTTCTGGTGAAAATTTTATCTACATTTGAGGTCAGTGTTTTAAAGTACTCTTCTAACTTCTTTCTTTGGTCAAGACTTCATGTCTCAATGTTGTGATACCACAAACACTGCATATTTGATATCTGAGTTATATTTTTCTGTATTATATATACTGTATTTTTTAATCCATGCATCTGTTGTTGGGTATACAGAGTGCTGTTAGCTAGCCTATGTATGTTAAGCTACATAATGAGACCTTGTCAAATATAAACAAATAACTAACTCTTCCCGTATAATCTGCATGATGGGACACACCAATTTGAGACAGAAAGGCTGGGGTAACTTCTCCAAACCTGAAACTGTGCAGTTGTTTCCATCTGTGACGCTGGCCACTTGTGGTTTGAGAGGATGGGGGTGGGGGTGGCTCAGGGCAGGGTGGAGATAACCCTGCCCAGCTCTTGGAATGTAGCTCCAGCCCATCAGAGTGGGAAACAGATGGCCTCTGAGGACATCTGAGAGCCGTGGATGGCACCTGTAAAGCATCATCTGCTAACTGCAGCTTCCCTGCAACACAGACACAGTCAAAATCCATATCCCAAAATTATATGAGTTTCTAAGGATGACCACTCGGTGAGATAGCATATGTGAAAGAGAAAAACATGAAGCTTACTTATCTATTTGGTATTTTTCCCTTCAAAAATTGAAGATAGGGGCCAGGGATTTAGATCCCTGGTGCCACCTGCCTTGCAAGCACAAGGACCCGAGTTTGATCTCTAGGAAAAAAAAAAAAATTGAAGATAGTATAAGTTTTGATATTAAGTCTCCAAGATCCTCAAAAATAACAAAAAGCACTTAGGATCTAGGACCATAAGTCTATGGTATCAAGGACAAAGCAAGGTGAAGGTAAAAGACAATTCTCCTTGATATAGGAGAAATTTAACTCCTGACTTTTTAGATGTCAAATGTGCTGAGTTTGTGGTCCCACAACATCAAGGAATGAAGTCTCAGATGGAAGGAAGAAGTTAGGAGAGGGGTGGTGGAAATAAAGGGAAGAAGAGCTGCTGGATTTCCAGCAAGGATTCCAAATGGATGGCCACCGAGGACTTCTGTCTGGAGTGATTAATTTATACTGCAAAGTCACAACGTGGGCACAACGTGGGTCAGACTACAATCAGCCTGCAGCATTACAAATATAGCTGCTTAGCTAATATTGATCCAATAGGGGGCAAGTCACATGGCAAGGGTAACAGAAAGAACTAAAATATTTTTCAGAAGGGAGAGGAGTGGAGTCTGGCTATTCTGTTCACCCACCTGGGTGACTGATGCCTATCTGGGCCCCTTGGACCAGTGGGTGCTAATTACAGTATAATCTCAAATTGCTGTTCATCTCTAGGGAGGCCTGCAGGCCTGGACACTGCATTTCCATCTTATGCCTGCAGGCATGGGCATTGCATTTCCATCTTATGCCTCTAGCCACAATCTAGATGTCTTCCTTGAGGGCCCCACCCATTTGACTGTGTGTTAATTTCTATCTAACGTGCTACCTATCTAACATAGCTACCTCTTCTCACTGTGAAGAGAATAGGTGAGCCCCTGAACTGGGAGGATGGTAATCTTAGGAGAGGTCTTGAAGAGCTGGAAGGGCTGAGACTGCTGAAAATAAAAAGAAGATAAAAGATCTGGGTTTCCTGGAGTCAAAGTCAGGGGGTTACCCATCATCTGCAGACAAACGGGAGATCCCTGAAATCTCATAAAAATGAGTACAGATGGTATAACTATTCTGATGCAGATTTCAGATCTCCCACATCAACAAACTGGTCACTACCTACCAACCACCCTAGGGTCACTAGGAAGCCTAGTCCTGATGCTAGGATCAACCAGCCCTCACAAACCTCCTCAGTCCCTTGTGGCCTTGATAAAAGAATTCAGTCAAGACATAGACAGCCATGCAGAAGTATAGGTAGAATTTATTGTGAGGTACATGCAGAGTTAAGCCTTTGAGGTAAAAGGCCAGCAATGTTGATACAGGAAATGAAACCAGAGATTAAATATGAAATATTATAACACCCAACCTATGAAATGTCTGATATACCAAGCTCATGTTCTCTAAAAATGGAAGAATGCAGGAATAATGGAAGTTAAGGGTAGGAAGGTATTTATTGATAGGATAGCTCCCGAGAGGCAGGAGGGGACCCAAATGAGCAGCTGGGACCTCATTCTACAGGGGAGTTTTATGTAACAGAATCCACATGGGTACAACCTGGGCCACAGCTGTCATCAACCAGTAAGTTTACAAGCATAGTAATTCAGGTAATAGTGGTCCAATTGGAAACTAAGTCACATAACAAAGTGTGGATGGAAAGAACAAAGACTTCTGTCTATCTAGACTTCGTTAGACCCAATTTTTGTCCTTTGAGGAAGCATACAGTTCTGGTAGTCTTGCCTTTCTCTTGAGGCCCGGTCTCCCAACAGATGTGTCTCCTGCTATAGTTGCGATGTGTTTCACCTCTGTCCTGACTCTCTTAGGACCTAGCTCTACATGACTGCCTGTAACATTTCTACCTAACTCAGCTGTCTATAATACTATGAAGACATCTACTTCATGCAGAAGTTAAAATATCATTGTATGCACATAGGAGTTACCCGAGTTCAGGGAACTGTGGGAATTAGAATGTTTGAGGACTAATTTTATTAGATGTTACTTTGGAATTCCAAAATGTCCTTTTCAGAAGGCCAGTGTTCCCTCCGAGGCCTTAACCATGTAAGAACTTACCAATGAAATTTACAAAAGTTCTCAATTTACAGCAGGTACCAGCACAGGGCTGTAGTATATTTAAAAGATGATGGCCTCTCATGTGCAGGTTTTGTGTTTGTAATTATAAGCTGTGTGTTTTTGTTGTTGTTGTTTTTGTTTTTTTTCCTGTGACCAGTTTTTCATCTTGGACTAAGATACAGGGGATTCTGAGAATGAAAAATATAAATATCCCGGGGAGCAACTTGTCAATAATTCAAATGCAGATATTCCTAGCGACTTGGCCTCAGACATGGTAACAACAGGGTGAAAAGAATGCTGAGATTAAAAGGACATCTAAACGAATTCTCCCCTGACTCAGAATCACTTCTCTTCACCACCCCCCACCTGAAGATCACCAAGAAACCAGGGCTAAAAAGTCCCCAGAACTGGTACAGAGTGGGAAGTGTTGTGTGGTTGAAGTAGGGATAGCTATGCAAGGTCCCGATTTCGATCTCCTGTACCTCCCCAAAAATAAAAATAAAAAATAAAATAAATAAAACAGAGTGCTATAAAATACCAAAAGAGATACAGCATGAACAAACGCAGCAGCGTTTGTCCAGCTGGCTTACCTCAGGACAGACGGGCTCTCCTCCCTGAGTGCTGCCTTTGCCTTTCCCTCACTGAGGGCTGGGTGTGGGGATGTGACTGGGGAAAGAAAACACGGACCAACAGCACTGCTCCTGAGTCCAGGACAACACTTTACTCTGTGCCGGTCACTGTGAGTCTAATGTGAACCAACAACCTAAAAAATGGAGATAGAGCTAGGCAGAGAAAGAGCCTGTCAATGAAAGAGTTACTCCAGATGTAGAAAAGAACATCAGGCACTTCCAACATATAAAGAGCTTGCAAGTCATTACACTTACCCTTTCCAATAAACAAACAAACAAACAAACAAATAAATAAAGCTGAACCAACTCTAAATCAGCTTTTCTTAGATTTATCAGAGAATTAAGGTCACAGGACAAATTGCCACTCTGATATCTGGAGACACATAATATAGAGAAAATAAATATAGAGAGAAACAGTCTGTATCTATAGAAGTCTAATGGTTGTGTTAGGCAGGTTGTGAGACATTAGCAGACCTGAGTGATCCAAAATAGCATGCTGGGCCAGTTATAGTTAAGAAACAAAGACCTCAATGTATAACACATTTATAACCATGTACTAGTGTGAGACCTGAGTGAGCTAAAGTGACTCCATGTTGGCCGACTAATGACCCCAGAGACCATTGAGTTCCCCTCCCCTTATCAAACAACAGGGAAAACTGCTTATGCTGCAAAAAACGTAGCGCTAATTGCAAGCTTGATTAACAAGCCTGCCCAGAACAGGCGGGATGTTAAAGGGGACCATAAAACACTATCCCTATAAGACAAGTGTAAGATATGAGTAAAGGTATCTGAAGCCTCTCCCCTTTTGCAGCTGTCAGACAGCCCTGACCTACGTCTTAACTTTTTGTTTAGAAAAACCCTATAAAACCTATGCACAATCCTGTAATGGGGCTTCACTTCTCTTGGAGAGTGGAGTCCCCACATGTGAAATAAACATCTTTCGGTTTTATCTGTGTCCCAGTATTTGGTGTACTTGCTGGGTTGGTACAACAATTAGGTCTCAGAATTGAAGACACAGGGCCTCTATTTCTAAAACAAAGCATACAGCATTTCTGGTTGCCATAGTCCATGGCCCAATGAGAGCAGGAAAGAAAACATGCTTTAAAACCCTTCCCTGGGACTGGGACCTGCTTTAAATGAAGAATTTAGCTCTTGTAAAGTTAGTTGGTTGGTTTCTTTCTCTTTTTTTGGTACCAGTGATCAAACTTAGGACCTTGTGCTTGCAAGACAGGTGGCGGAACCACTGAACTAAATCCCTGGCCCTGTTGGTTAGCTTCTTATATGATTTTTACAATTCCAAAGTAACATAAAAATAATTTTGATAAGGACGATAATTACCCTAGTTTCCTGAACTACAGGAGTAACTCTTCTGTGCATACAAAGATATTCAGACTTCCACTAGAGAGAAAATGCCTTTCTCTCTACACCTACTTTACAATAAATTCTACTTTTACTTCTGCAATGGGGCTTCTGAGTCTTGACATTTATCACAGGCACAAAAGGAAGAAGAGGTTATTGAGGGCTTGTTCCTCATGGTGTCAGGATTGTTTTCCAGCGACAATAGGGACATTTAAATGATAATTTTGACAAATTGCTGGGGGCTGAGTGTGGATTAGCTTGATCAATGAGAAACTCCTGGGAGATTCATCCATTATCCTGTCCTTTTCTTGGGATTTATCTCCAAGAAAACACGTCATTTTCCCATAATGAAGAGCCAAGAGAAAGACCATCTCTTGGGTCTGGCTGAGAGGTGATAGAATCATTTTGAAATATATCCAGAGTATCCTCCATAAGAGACCTACGCTCCACTGTAGGACTACCAGAGCCTTACATCAACTAGAGAGGGCATTTACCCAAATTCAATGTGCTTTGCATTTGTGTCTCCCCTAAGGGAATGCAGGTGAGGAAACACTGGTGGAAACCCTAACCTGGAAGCAGGCCCTCTGAACGATTTAACCGCTAATGTGCAGAACACTGCCCTCTGGCGTAACCGCAGCAGCGACAGCTGAAACATTCACAAGAAACAAATCTCATTTAAGGAAGTTTCTAGGAAAACACAAAGGCAAAGAAGGCTGGCTGGCGGTGTAGCTCAGTGGTAGATGGATGGGCTAGCAGCGTGAAGCCCTGTGCCTGATCCCAGCACTGAGGCAGAAAGGCAGGTG